CATTAACATGATGATATCACCAAACCTGCTTCACTTCCGAATCTCAGGACTTGACATAATTTTTAGAGGGACGAATATTACCTGACCCGAGCGGCTGCGACAATTATCACCAACATACCACAAGGCATTACAAGTTCCGTCACTCTTGAAGGTGTCTTGGAAATCAGAAGGTCCCTGGAACCGTTAAAGACTGTGAACTTTATCGACGTTAAAGATTATCCAACGCTGAGTCTATGCTTACATCTATTTCTCTCAAACCACGCCTTCCAGGTCAAAGGCTTATTATTGATGAAGCGACATCAATGTAACGCACTCAGTAATTGAGAACAGGTTTGGACAGGTAGCGCAGCCATTACTATAAATCACTTTCTTATGAAGTCGTTGGGAAGGTATTGATCTGTATAAGGGCATACGTTCTTCTCTAGAGGACGCTCGTTTTGCCAATCGCCCCGTCTTGAAAGCAGCAGATCTCCCCACCATGTACGACTGTTATTGTATTGTTGCAGCCTTCTTATACTTTTTTCTCCTTCCCCTTTGTGTTGTGAGCTCATTGAATACACCTGCCGTACGTGTGGTGCTCTCATTCGATCTGTAGCGCGTCAATAGCTGGCGCGCATACTCGCTTCTCGGGTGCTACCAAGGTAATGTTGTGTTGTTGCTGTGCTTCCAAGAACCAGCTGACATATTGTTACCATAAACATGGAATGCCTATTCCAGCAAGAGTGTTGTTATGTATTAGACATCTTGTGGCCGCCGTTGTTGCCCTATGCCCGTTGTAACCTCGTGCGCAACTAGTTCTGCCCATGTCGTGCGGTCAATTTTCGGCATTGACTTCTAAGGCCGCTGAGCCTTATTTTCAGCTCTTTGAGTCTCCGCAACCCAAAGTATCTTTCAGCTGGGAATTATAGAGCGGTGTTTAGCGCAAGGTGTATGATCGAATACATGGGAACCGGCTTTTCGTTGCTCGTGTAGGCAGGCGTCAGGCTGGGATATGCGCAGGTATTGGTCATCTCATCACGCTTCGAACAAACAGTTCGACAGCAACTGCACCACCATACAACCATCGCGGCGACATTTTGTCTGGTCACTAATCCAGCAGTAGCAATACAGCCCTTTCCTCCAAACAAGTATTCGAAAGTATCACACTCGGTATCACTTCTTTGTCTGCTTTAGATGAGAGCTGCGCGCAGCATATGGTAAGGTACAGTCGGATCCTGGAGTGTTGAGAGGGGAAACGTATTTTGTAGAACCTCGAATTGCTTGGATTAGCGTTCGTCATTGACAATTTCTATATTTTCTTAATCTTGTGTGGATACCTGTCTTTGCGGAAGAGGCACGTAGGGGCGCCTGTATCTGTCCAGGTCTCGCATTCGAGGAACAATGACATCTTAGTGGTGTAGATGCAACCGGGAATGATCATTTGAAATATATTCGGATATCTTTGCGAGGCGCGCCAGTGTAGTTCTGTTGCACGGCAGATTCGGGAGGCCAAAACAGGAAAAGATAGCTGCTGAATTTTGGTTGCTGTTGAAAACCTTGTGCAAGTCTCGCCTGATTTCTGAGATAGCGGCGTTCTTCGCATGTAAGGCCAGTGCCAGTTCCCTACGAATTGCTGCTCACTGGCGGTGCAGCAATCTCACAAGTAGACAGCGATTCAATCGCGCACAACTTGCGTGGGCTCGACATCCAGGTCGTGTTTACTGAAGCATTAGTGGGGCAGCTGACGATAGCTAATGGGTGACCCAAGCTTCTCGACACAGTTGGGAAGAAGAGACCGTCCTTGACCATGTAGTTCTTATGGCTTTCAGAATTTTGCGGAGTGCGATGACTGATGCTCTTGTGCTGATTTCAAACTGTTGAACATTTGAATCTGAACTTTGTGAACTGACAAAAGGCATACTATGTCTCGCATTTGTGCCAAGACTCGCCTTGCCTCGCTACCTCTTACCCGCACAACCCCTCGTAGAGAATGGCAGCGACTGAACATCTCCAGGCACTCATTATGAAAAGCCTATCTGACAGATACAGGACACCATGAAAACCAGAAGCACCGCGAAATCATGATACCCAGTTGTGCGACATAGGCGGTATGGTAGAATGTCCGACAATTTGGCAGATCTGATGGGAATGACGAGCTCAACTCTGTTATGAATATGGGAAGAGCCGTATGCTTCTGTGGCATCCTAGTGTCACGTCAGTCTGAACATGCCGAAGTAAGCAAAAAGATCACAAATAGCAATATTGTAAGAGGAGTAATGGAATGGGCGACGCAAGGGGCCACAGAAATAGGACAAGCGACACGACTCAACAGGCGCCGAGAAGAAAGCATAAAATTCTGGATACAATCGAATCAGGTATCCCACGATGAGACACTTTACGAAACGCAAGTTGACGGAGATAGGAGGAACGTCGGATACTCGAGCCTTCTTTACAGAATCACCGATTCCAAGCCCATCCAATGCTCGTACATCTGACACACACGCTCCTTCCTTAGTCATTCATTCACCTCTCCGAGTCTCCATACTCTCCTTGGCACAATCACCCACATCCTAACGGCCACCAAAAGTATGCATACACGGCGCGGACACAGCAGTATTCCAAGACTCTGGTGCAAGGACAGAATCTCAGGGCCCTCGCAGGGAGTAAGAATGTTGTCAAGTGCGCTGCTCAGAGTGATGGTTTCCAGGTCAATCCCGTTGTGTGCCTGACACTTTTCTGATACTCCAGTGGACGAGAGGTGTGGAAGAGGGATGGCAAGAAGGGCAAGAGATGGAGTGGTGAAGTAATGGGAAAGAAGAAAGAGCGCGACATCGAGTAGAGCTCGTAAAGACCAGGAAAGGGTGAGTTCTATAACGAAAGCTTGGGAATAACAGGAGGCACGATGAAGGCTGGGGATGGGGATCTTGGCGAACAAAGGGTAAAGTTCAACGCTTCGCCATAGGCGGATGACAGGATGAAAGCCAAGTGGGAAATACGGTATCCCGAAGACATTTGAAGTACTGAGAAAAAGAAACAATTGGCTTACAGGACGAAGGGATGGAGGCGACGAGGGCCTAGACGACCATGATATGGAGGAAGACATGATAGATGCAAGAAGTAGGTCCAATGCAGAGACGGCGAGAACTCCAGAACGCTTACCTTTAAGCTGCCAATACCAGAGCATCGTCTGAGGCTTGCTAAAGCGAAAGCTATACCAACGCCTTACATCACTGAAGCATGGATGAGCATGGATGAGGTTGCAACATCATCGCGATCCAAGATGAACCACTGGAAGGCTATACGAGAAGATCATCGAAATGATGCTTGCGTATCATAAACCTATGAGCTTCGAGGTCTTCTATTCGATAGAAAAGGGCAACTGGAGTATCCTAGCATACGAGTCTGACTTTCATAATATCAATATTGAGAGAACGGTTACCGAGAGGCAAATACTCTTGTAAGACAGAAGTATTCAACATCGGCCTTGATAACAAAGCGACATATCTGAGGAACGACATGCATATTTGGGTCTGCTCGAGAATCTCAGAGGTCTAAGAATCGCAGAGGTTAGCTATCGAATCTGAAGATTAGTGAAGATATCAAAATAGCCGTAGCTAAAGGATCAAATTTTTGCAAGACTGTCGAACTGAGAACGTTTTGCTGGCAGTTCTACATTCAACATAAGTGTGAAATCGTTGTACCATAGTTGAAGAGTGTCAGTTAGTAATTGCTTCGCCGCAAGATATGCGGCAGGGGATCACATATCCCACGTGGAATTATCCACTGCATATGTGATAACGGTGGCAACCGCAATTGAAAATGGGAGTAAAACATTCTGATGTCGGACTCCCAGCATCGACATAGAGAAATGAAGGCATGAAAAAGACGATGCCACAGTACCAAGTCATCGGAGCATAGGTGGGCTATCTAAATGTTCTTTACAAGTCGGTTCTCCATGTAGTGAGGAAGAACCGAGCGAAGTTGACACAATCCCAGAACTGTCTAAGTAGGGTCCGTAATAGATTGAATCGCTGAACCACATATCTTTGCTTTCAGTGATAACAAAATTGAAAAAGCTGTCACAAGGTGGGAAATCTGGCCAAGTTCGCATTCCGCGAAGACATGAAATGGTCAATGAAAAAGTCGATCAGGGTCACCTCAAAATATGAGATCAAGCTGAGGAGCTCGTGAGCGCTTGACGGGTTGAGTCCTCGTGGTGATGAATAATCATACACCTTATATACTGTTTTCGCCAACAATACCGAGTGTTGCGGGCAAAAAATGGTCGCCAGAATTCCGGCGTTGAAAGATGGTGAGTAAATGCGGCACGGCAACAAAAAGTTGACAAAAAAGAAAACTTGGCCCGAGCATGATTCGAACATGCGTCTCTTCCTGGCTAGGCAAACCGGTTCTACCGACCCACTGGTCAGGCCCCAGGCTCACGGTGGCGGCTGGCCGGAGTGTAGGGGTATGGGAGGGGGTACCAGCTGTTTGATCCGGAAGCATCATAAACCACTAGACCATCGGGCCGTATTGAATTGATAGTGGGTTCGACAATAAAGTAACATATATAGAACACCATGATAGAACGGTGAGTAGTGGCAATGTCGGCCAAAGGGAAACTATTAGATTTCCAGGCATTCACTGGTGGGGTCACTTCTGCCTCGCTGCTTCATTGAGAGAAAGAGGGACTAGAAACTCGGCTCTGTATGCGTCACCCCCCCCACAAAGAATCCAATAGCCAGGCTTTTGGGTGAAACTGGTTGCCATGTGAGCGTGGAGACTCAATAACCTCAGTGTTGTTGTTGAAAAAAATCAGCAGGTATTCAGCGGACATGAGCCATTGCCGCATCTGATGAGATGCGAACAACAACGACAAGGAAAAAAATGAATGAGTGGACAGAGTGAGAAGCCGATCCAGTGGTCATCGCCTGCCCGCTTGCTGTTTTCCCCCAAGGCCTTTCCAGTCGTCTGAAGTGATGGCCTTCAAAAGGAGCAAAAATTGAGCAAAAAAGAAACTTTGGACCGGCTGCGATTCGAACGCAGGTATTCCCCAAACCTCAGGCAAAGGAGGGGGGGACTCCACTGGAATTAACCAGGGCCCTCACGTCGCCTAGAAACAGGTAGGAGAAGTCATGACCACTAGACCACCGGTCCTTGGTTGTTTGATGGAAGATATGCTCTATATTTTTCAATATATAGGACAGTGCGAGGTGTTTGCGTGTGGTGGTTGAATCTGGAAGTTGCGAACTTTGTTCACCACGGGCGTGCACATTGGACTTGCGGAGATCATCACACACATCGAGAGGCTCAGCAACTCGAGTGCCGAGCCGGAACCAGTTCATTTAATAGGCTTGCCAACTAGTTCGGTATGCTGCAATCGTAGGTTTGACTTAGTGGGATTTACGGTGCATGCAAATGCTCACAACAGGTGACATGGCTCAGTTCCGCAAATGGAGCTGCACTGAACTCCTTGCTCCTAATGATGGAAAAGGTAGACTATCATCAGCAATGACAGCTCGTCGCATGGCAGGCCATTTAATGTTGCCTGCGACTTTGCAAGTGCATTTTTGGGTAGCCGTGAGCTTGAACAGCGGGCGGGCCCTCTTGTCGTGAGTGAGCTTCGTTGACAACCCAACGCAACTTCACTTGTCCCATAGTTTGTCTTATGGAACTCCATGATTGAAAGTCTTCAAGTGACAAGTCCTTTCTCTACGCATACCGGCGGCCCATGTTTGAGAACTTCAGCCCCACCGTCAAGAGTGCCTTCAGCATGTTTGATATTCTGTCAATTTGAGTGACGCAACAGTCATTTGCCATGACAGACCCGCAATGTTTGTGAGGGTCCATCTGACAAGCAAATTCGTTGACCAAACATGTGAGATTGTCCCTGTGGCCTTTAGATGATGGTGGGCACAGTTTAAAGGACTTAGAGGATTTAAAGCATGTCACTGTAGCGCTGGGATCTTCGACTCCGCTGAGATCAACAGTGTGGCCTTCATCTTTCTACTCAGGAAATGCACATCCTGACGCAGATTTCCTTAACAGTTGCAGAGATCACACCAAATTGGCACGTCTTTCGGGCTCGCTGTTGTCACTGCGGGCGGGAAGTGTGGCCTGTGCCCCACGCAGTCAGGATAGTGAGAAACAATTTATGTGACCCACAGCTTCCAAGTCCAACATCAACACCACCTCACTCGCGCCGACAACAACAACAGCAACGCGGTATCTCCTGTGATCTGGAAAGCTTCATCAAGTCATTTTATGACTTGAAGAACAGGCTGAAGATGTTTGCGTGTTACTGCGGAGCGCATGTCCGCAACATTTTTGATCGCGCAGCGGCAGCGAAGACGCATTTTTCGACGCAACTACAGTTTCCTATGCCATGATCAAGGTGCAGAGTGTAGTTGTAGAGCCCCTTTACTTCGGGCAGCAAGAAGGTATGTACTCAGTTCTCTTTGACGTAGATGCATTGTCGCGGCAGTGCCTTGCGGGACAGATCGAGCATGTCAGTTCCGCAGTGAGCTACATAGTCAGCTCTGACACACCCAAGGGCAAACATTTTAGCTTCAACAGATGAAATCTTTCAAGCTTTCCAAGTTACTGAGAAGCGACCTGCACACATCGATGTTGGCGGCATGCGCGCATCTGGCAACCTGACTAGTTTCACACGCAGCCAAGTTGCGAGAATTCGCAACTGATGATTGCAGATAAGGCATTAGTTCAAAGGCATGAAAGCCTTTTTCCGCAACTGAGTGAGACCTGTCAAGGCCGCAACCTTCACAAGTCACTTGCACCACCTTCATCGAACCGCGACAGGTCTGCCCCGCGCAGCGATGCTTTGGCATGCAGCGACGTAAGTCAGATCTGAAACCCAGATGCCTTCTTTACATGAACTGATTTCTTTATGCAGGTGGAACACAGTCCGCGGCGAGTAGCTTTGCTGTTCGCTGGACACGGCCATCGACCTGTCAGGCGATCGAGTTTTGAGGGCTTTGACGCATTGGAGGTCAACGCGAGCAGCTTCATGCATGCTGTTTAACCACCGCACCATGAAGAAAGGCTCATGTGTTTACGACAACGGTGCAGTGTTTCTGGGTGCCGCCGCGATGCCGACAACAACTGTTGACCGCAAGCCACGCACCTGACATCACGAACGATAACCGCAATGAACACCACTTGAGCGCAGGAGATCTCCACTGTTGATCAGACGCCTTATTGCAGCATTAGATTACTTCCTCCTCTTTAACGCAGTTGCTAGAATGCGAGACACATCTAGCATAGCTACAGCGGCAACTTGGATCGAAGTAATGAAGTCCCTCTAAGTACTACCAGCACCGAAAACACCGTCTTGAATCAGAAACTGGCGCTGTACATGGCGAACATCTTCGTCTCTCATTCACGAGTCAGCTTTCGCGCATGCTGGCGGAGGAAGCGTCGCATCAGGACGAATGGCGGCAACAATGCGCAGTAGCACCATTGAATGATCAGCAAGACCACATGTACCGAGCGTAGCTTGCAGAGATCATGGCGCGAAACGAACAGCAGCATCATTAATAACAACGACCACTCAAGGCTTCAACACGTCGGCCATCTGACCGACCAAAGCAAGCCCAAGGCGAACAACAAGTGTAAAAAAGGAGGCTTGGCAAATCGGAGATGTGAGGGCAACATACGGAGCCACAATATCTCTAACTGAGGGCATCGACGACCTAGCTCTTAATCTCTTCAACTGGTTGGAAAGAGCTGCCGAGAATATCAAATATGTTTGCCAACAAGCACATCGAACAAGTTTTCGAGCAAGCGATATGGCTTAACATACCAACTCGCGGCATTGAGCAAGTTCGGTTCGATCTTCGCGAAACATCTTGACTTGCAAGACCTCCGCATACAAAAATAGCAAGTAGGTCGGCCAAAGCCTACTTGTGATACTTGCATTGACTGCTCGGGGATATGGCATCGCTGTCGACAAAGATATATGTTTCAGCGACCATGAATGAATACCACTATTCGTCGGGAAGCTAGCCACTTGCATCTCTACGAAGTGAAAAGCATGCGAGCCAAGTCCTTCTACCTATTGTTCATAGGGCTCAGATATCAACAAACTCCATGACGAGTAAGGTCTTCATCTGGTGCTCAGGACGACATGCGGAAAGGGTGCTGAGATACTAGACTGAGTGGATATCGATGCAAGAGCAGGATGATTACTTCGTCGACTTCGATCATCGCCCGACTTCCTATGTCGAAGAATAGCGGACCTTCGTGAGAAGATCATGGCAAGGGCACTACGAGATCGACTTGCATCAGTTAGACGCACTCCGCCATCGAACTTCTTCAACTTCGCATTACACCAGCCCAGCCTGAGCGCTCGAACATCACCCACAGCAGCGAATGGTTGAGGGTATTGGCCGTATAAGTTCGATACCCATGATGGTGGCAGGTCTTGACATACTTGCGCATCGAATGAAAGCGGTGCACCGCATTTCTCATTGCGAACATTGTTTGAAAACTTTGTCGCAACTCGGTGCGATATGGTCTATCTGTGACCCCATGGCCGTTGATTTATTCAGCCTGCATTGAATCTCATCGACTCGGTACAAAGTAGGAATATGAGGTGAACACAGACTGTGATTGAAGTCGACTTTGATGTCTCCCCGTTGGATGTTAGGAACAACGCAGTCGTCTGCCAATTCGTCAATAGATTTCGTGCCAGAAATCTCCTTGCTCTGCTGATCAGTTGTATTCAGCGGCCGTTTCGATCAAGGAACAAAGTCTGACCCAGATGGATAGTGTCATGACAGGTATGTCCCACACCGCTGTACTCCGTTTAAAAATTGAAACTAATGACCATAAACCCTCACACGACTATGAGCGCCATGATTCCCGCTAGAAAGCGGCGCTCAATATATCCTGAAGACGAAAAACAAGCGTTGCCATGCGCAAAGGCGAAACGACACTACGTGGTGATCGCAACCTTGATCACTAGTATCCCGTTGAGATTGGCATGACTCCAGAACACAAGTTAGAGAATGCTACATTGATACTGTCGAAATAAGAGGTCGATATAGGCATGCTGCTCATATACCGACCGCGAGGGAGTATCCGTCCAATGTACATCGCCACATGAAGCTAACATCGGATAGATATGCCTCCCTCGCACACGGAAATTGGCCCTTCTCCTTGATCGTATCGCAATACTAGGCCTCTAGGAGTAAAGAAGATTGTCGTTCTAGGGAAGGCTGATCAGAAAAATAAGGCATCTATTTGGCCTAATCGCATTACGAGCAGCGGCATGTCAGACTTGGGTGACATTGCACCACCGTCTTTATAAAATTCGACATAAACAATCGCCATTGTTGACAATATTCCTAGCAGCCATTTCTTGGAATCAAGGGAAACGCCAATGTTCCCAAAGCGCCTCGAAGGTGTGCCGTTCGACGTCAGTAACAGCAACCGGGCGAAAACAGGTGAGAATGAGATGGCAAGCAATGATGCCCAGACATGTTGCATTCAATTCCCAGTATATCTGGACTCGATCGATAATGGATAAATAACCGGGTGAAGGTAAAAGGGTTGGGCAAAACCTTCTTAATGGTATGCTCAATCGAATTCTCCCGGGAGAGCAAGGTGGATCAACCCCATGCTGAGCATTGTGGATCGACCGCTACAGTGTATTGCTCCTGTTGTTCAAATGCAGGACGATTGCTGGGTGGACCGAACCTGACACTCGGTATTGTGGGTGGCCATCGCCAAAGGAAGGAAAGTGGTTCAATGGTCTAGACCCATGCCTTAACCTAAGTATCCTTTGGTACACTCTATGAGTGAGAGCGATGATACCTGAGTTGAGAATTTGGCGCAGCCTTCTCAATGGTATGCTGAAGACTTCCTCACACGTCGCAGAGTTATGTGGGTTGACCCTGAGACCTCGGTTTCAAGCTTCATATCCCGACCGCAGTTTTGTTACTACACTTGCTGCCAGGCTGAGACTCTTGCCTTGGTGGTTCTGAACAGCGGTACATGTCTTCGATAGAAACACCATACTAACTAATGTAGCTATATCGGAACCACGGATGACCCACATACCACACGGGCTGCTTCATAAACGACATTGTAAGTAATGTGTTTTTCGCGTAAATTTGCGAGATGGGATATTTGGC